ACAAGATGAATCTGTGGCCATGGTCGTTCAGCTGAATTTGAGCTGGCAGTGTGCCCTTGACCCAGGGGAGGAGACCAAAATACTCGATGCTCCAGTGAGAGCACAAACAGCAGGTCAGGGGCTGATCGGTTCCCTCTAGTTGTCATTCACAAGTCTGCACATGCAATAGTGCATCTAGTACAGACTAAATCATTTCCATGTGCCTTCTAACCTAATCTTTTCCATAATTCTATGAGTGTTCCAACATCAGAGCTATACACTTCACTCTTATGTTTATATATGTACATCTTTAATCAAAAATAAAGGTTATCTTCATTTAGGATGAGAGCCAAGGGGAAATAAGTGGAATTTGCATGGAATTTCAGGACCTATGTTTAAAAATTTGATTCTCTTAAATCATGTCCTTCCTTCTTCAGAGTTAACGTTACTCTGTGATTTATAGTTCTATATCTGAGAAAGTACAGCTTTACTTAAGTTTTAGGGATTTTTTTCGCTTCTGTCCTTTGCCTTATTTCCCCTGTGACCTACAAACCAGGCTCTGAAAGGTTTACTGGCTCATCATAAAATAATTACAAACACTGTTTTACTTTTTAAGTAATACAAAATTATAAACAAAAAAACCCTGCCCCCTTTTCTAAATAAGAGCTTGGCTGTCAGATCACTTTCTCAGAAAGGGTGAAAACTATCCTCAACTACCTTCTAATTGAAGGAATTTAAATCCATATCCCCCACTCCTTTAAAAGTGTCAAGAGAGCAGTGGTTACTTAATTTCCTTAGCTCAGTGAGCCTTCACTCTCACTTTACATCTTCATGATCAGGGGCTTAGGTAAAATTTAAGCATCCAATTCTCTTTGCCTCTGAGTCTGTCCCAAAAGATGGCTAATAGATAAACTACAGGGGTTGCTTTGGTTTGGGTTAACATTTTTTTTATTTTTAACATTATTCTCAAAAAAAGACCTGCATAACCACAAAACTAGCTAAATTCTTCATCTGAACTATTCAGTGCCTTATTCAGATCATTGACAGATTTATTTTCAATATTTGATTGAAAATCCATCCAGGCACTTAAAAGTACAGAAGAATGCCTGAATATACATGATAAGACCCTGATTTTCCTCCATGAAGAAGCAAATTAAGATCTTCCAATGCTAGGAACCATTTATTCAAGGTGCCTTCCCAGGTTGCAGGGAAACTAGAGGAATACAGAAGTTTTTGTCAGAATGTGTCAATCACACGAATAAATCTCAAGCATCATATTTAGAGAACAAGGTCAACAACGTCACATATAGGTCAAAACTACAACTCTCGTTTTGTGATCTTGGCCAGATCACAAAGGTTTGAATACTGAAAAGTTAACAGTGATTTAAAAAATAAAAAAGATGATATCAAAAAATTTAATTACTTATGTTACCAAATTATGATTAACTTGAAAACAGTTCTAATGCAAGACTTTCCAGATTCCAAAAGTGTATCTTGCACTATAGCATCTTAGAGGCACTGAAAGAAAGGTAATCTGAATTTCTGGAAGTTTCATTATGAATAATTGTCTCCTGTTGAAAAAAGGGCAAACAAGCCAGGAGAGAGAACTTATTTCCTGCAGTGTTTCATTAATAAGCCAAGAAGTATTAGGGAAAAGGAAATTTAAAACAGTTTTTTCTGCCTCAGAAAAAGTTAAATCCTGGACTGCTTCTCTTCAGGATTTCAGTAAGCTTCTATGATTACCAGAGAGGGTTAGTTTTGTTTTGTTTTTGTGTTTTTAACCTACACTACTGAAACACATTTTCCAAATTTATCTTTCATGATCTATGTTTTATATATCTTATTCTTTGTTACATATCTGCATCTCTTAAAGGAATCGTATTTCCTGGAGAAACAGTGCATGGTACTTGTGGAGAACAGAGGTCTAGAAGCTCCTATCAAAATTTCTCCAAAATCTGGGTTTAGTAAAGGCTTTTTCCTCATCCTCCTCTCTCTGAGATCTACAGAGAATCCTACTAATCTATTAATTCTAACAATCTAATTAAAGCCTACTAATAATCTACCGTGAGCATTCAAGATTTGTCATTCCATGTTTTTACAAGACTTTCTTTGTCCAGATATCTCTGTGAAGCTCAAGGATTGACAAGATCCCACATATGTGGCATCTGTTCCAGTTCAGATGGAGGGCACTTCCACAATACTCACTGCTAAAGGACCTGATCCCAAACCCAGCCAAAACCATAAGGATTGCTCTTTTGTCTTTATTATTATATCACAAATTTGAAACGTCAACTCTATTGAAGTTAAAGAGACAGAAAAAAAATTAGTTTAAGTTATTAAAATATTTTGCTGTATGTTAAACTTATAGGGTTTTTGTTTGGGGTTTTTTTTGGTGTTTTGTTGAGGGGGGTTGTTCGTTTGTTTGGGGGGGGGTTGTTTTGGCTGGGTTTTTTATTGTGTTTTTTTACAAACTGGTAACTTAAAAACATTTTAAAGACTTCACTGAAAACACAGAGCTCAACATAAGCATCTAAACATGACATGGCATCAGATAATGCTATGTTTTCTTAGATCAGTGCACTTTAAAATCAGCTAGCAAGTTTTTCAGCTTTTAAATATGCAGAGCAACTGGAAAGAAGGAAGAAAAAAAAATCACATCTTTCCCAGATAATGTTCAATCCCTGATTAAATAAAGATGTGCCAAGGCAGAGATACTTTATGCCTCAGGAGACAGCCATAGTGGAATTGTGAGTGTATTTTATATGTGAATTAGAGGTAAGATGTAATGACATGAGATGAAAGGCTCAGCCATGATTTTAATAAAGGGGGGAGACAGTACATCCCTGTGGACCCCGTATGCAAAAGAGTGAGACTCGACAAGAATATGTGAAAAGATTCAGCAAAAACTACAACAAATGTTTCAAAGTTATGAGACCACCATTAAAATTCATCACATTTTACCAAAAGCTGAGTATTCCAGTTCTGAGGGGAAGCTTTAACACATTTCTGATAGCTTTAATTTCACATGACAAACTATGTCATCAGGAAGCTGGGAACAATTTTCAAAATTTAGGTAAGATGGAAATGGAGAGTTTGAAACCATAAAATTTCATTTTTTAAGGGTTTCAAATAACATGATCTAAAAATAAACCCATTAAATTTGTTATTTTAAAAGCATGGTTTTTTATTGAAATAGAATAACACAGTCTAGTGGCACCATGATGACAGATATTTTATCTGTTTAATGCTTTTAACAATCCTCAGGAAAAGCTGTTACCTATTGCCCTATTGATATTTTGTATGGCTACAGCAGAATTCTAAAGAACCATTATTTCTTTTTCCCCCATTAAATTAAGGGAAAAGTCTGAGAATTTGCACAGGTATTTTGCTCTTTCTGTGCATTGGAGAAAAGAAAAAAAAAAAAAAAAAAGAGGAGATATGCCTTTGTAAGGAATAGACATGAAAAGAGCAAAATGAATGGGATGAACTGCTTAAAGGAAAAAAAATAATCCTGCTTTATTTGATCTTTTGTGATAATCACACTCCTGGCACCCCGCCAGCAAGGCTGAGCATGCTGATGTCTGGCCAAGTACAGTAATCTCTTGGTTCAAGTCTGAGGTCTGTGATGAAAATTACAAAGCAGGGACAAAAAAAAAAAAAAAATCAAAATGCCACCTGTGATTTTATTCTGAAGCTAATTTGATGGAAAAGGTAATACAATGCAAACAGTCTTTTTAGGGGAGACTACAAAACTAGGACTAAATTGAAACCAGTGCAAGTGGATGGAGGTAGCTATCATGCAAATACATTTGGATCTGCAGGCGTTCCTTTTAAAACGAGCAGTGGATGTCTTTGTGACAGGTAAATTGCTTTGAGATTATGTTTGAAGTCTGAGGTCAAACTTTTAAAATGATAATTTTAACTTACGTCTTCCTTTATTCTGGAGTCTTTTTGCATTTGAAACCATCAAAACCAGGAGGGGGAAAAAAATAACAATTCATTTCCTTAATTTATTTTCAGTGAACCACCATTCTTTACAGGTGAACAAATCCTTGAGGAAAACCTTTTCCTTTCCCTTTTCATTCAGTAGTCTATATCTAAGAAGAATTGCATAGCCACAAAATTCTGCATGCACAACATATTCAACTCAGAAAGTCAGCCAGTGAAATCTTCTGCATTATTATTCATATTCAAAGCAGAAAAAAAACAACCACCAAAAACCAGCATGTACCTTCCCTCCCCACCCTCCCCCCCGTAGTTACTGTGTTTTCCTGAACGATTGTATATCATTAGCAGCATGGATCAAAGGTTGTTTGGATTTTTCTTTACAAACATTAGAGATTTTACAGATTTATTCTTTAAAAAAAACCGAACCCAATAAACAACACAACAAAACACTGTTTTGTTTCCTCTTTTGACAAAAATCCACTGTTGAAGTGATGAAGTGATACAGGCTACCTATTTACCACCACCTTCTCTAAAAAGCTGGGTAGTGTCTTGCCATTTTTATGCACACTTGCTACTCCTCCCTGCACTAGTAACGATTGCTGCACACAAGCACCAGGACAATCCCTGATCTCTAGGGCCTCACTGAAACACTGCATTTCAGCATTTCACACTTGCTGCTATTTTGCTCCTTCTTCAGGAAGGTTCTCTATAGATTTCCAATTCTCTTTGATGTTCAAGTCTGTTTCTGCACTCTCTTCCCTCCACCAACAACGCTAATCAAAGGAACGCCTTAATGGTCGCCGTAACCTTCTCGTACTTATATTTTCACGCTACTCCTTTTCTATAATTTCCTTTGCAATCAACAAAGCAACTGATTGCAGCACAAACAATACAATTAAATTATTAAATTCTGCACGGTGCATATGCTGATATGCTCATAAATTTGCCAACTCCACACACACACACACAGACACACACACATTGACACACCAAGAGAGAACTTCAGGTATGCTCGTGCACATATCATGACTCATAGAAACATGAACACTTATGTTTAAAGAAAAGGTACCTACCTGGAACGAGCTGGCCCAGTAACTGATGGCATCTGGAAAGGCTGAATACAGCTACTATGACCAAAAAAGGATAATGTTTCCATTTCATGATGTGTCCTTCCTCGCATTACACCAGCTCGGCAGCGCTAACGTAAATGTCACCTGCAATGGAAATAGGAACAGAGGAATTAATGATAAATTTAAGGTGCTTCCAAATATTTTTGTCCAGTGTAACTCCATGAAGTATGCTGGTTTCAATACAGCTTTAGCTATTTAAATAATGTTAAATTATTGAGCAGTTGCAAACCACAACCAGAAAATTAATTATCCTTGCAGAGCAGACAACCCCAAAACAGATGTTTTAAAGGAGGACACGAGGAGCCCCATAGTGCACATGTGTATTTCAGAGTGCTGCATGTTGTTTGTTTAAGTTACTAAAGAAATTGCTTCACTTCAGCAAGATAATGAAGTGCATGTTTGATCCATCTCAGTGCAAGGAAATATTTCAACCCTTGCCTAAGTTGAAAACGCTTTAATGCTATTCAGCTTTACTATGAAAGCAGGGTTAAAACTTTCTACCAGTCCCCTTATGACACGATGTTTTGCTGAATGAGTATTAGGGATACCTTCACACATTAATAACTTTAACAGTTAAGACAACTTTTCAATGAGTTTCTATGTTCTTAAAGGCCAAAGATGTTCATCCAACTGACAGGAAAATGAAATCTTACGAAAGAAAGACAATATTTTGAAAGAAAAAAATTATCAAAGATGAAAACATTTATCAAAATATGACCTTTAAACTCATTTTTCTGACCACCGCACCTGTAGGTTAATAAGCATTCACAACTCCGTCACTGCTGAAAAGTTATCTCTGCTCATACTATTTTTTTTGTCACACTTCGGCTACATTAGTATTTAGTATGGACTTTACCAGAAATCACAGAATCAAGAATTGGTTGGAAGGAACCTCTGGACATCCTCTAATCCAACCCCTCTGGCAAGGGAGAGTCACCTGGAGCAGGTGACACAGGAATGCATCCAGGTGGGTTTTGAATTTGTCCAGAGAGGGAGACCCTTGTTCACAGCGCACTATCCTGTTCAAAATGCCTTTCTTTATAAGTTTCTAAGAAACATATTGTCTATTTTAGGTGATCATAGGTTTCTAAAAACAGTAAGACTTTTTTTAGTGCCTGTCGAGTTATGAGATGTGCACAACTGCCTGACCCTAATCAACAACCAGAAACCAAGGGATGCATGCTGACACATCAAACTCCACTCCAGCAATCAGTAACTATATCAGGCATTAATAACGTTACAACCGCACTTCTTATTTCTCTCTCCTTGTACTTTTCCCCCTTGTAGTTAAGAATGTATAACCAGTTTGGATTGTGACTCCTCTATTACTAAATGTCAGCAGACAGAATCAGAACACTGAAGAAAACTATAGTGCCACCAGTCACTTAATCAATCTGTTGAGACAGAGAATTTTCAGATGTAAACCTAATACATATTTAATAAGTACAGACAGAAGACTTGGGATTACTGGGAGCATTCAGTGTCACACAACACTTTTGAATGTTCAAAAATGCATAAATAAGTTAAATCTGAACAGATTCAATCCCCTACACATGTTGCATTTTGTATTTGCTTCTTGTGTTATACCTCTGCTTCTATTATCTTAGCAACCAGAATTAATAATACTCCACTTCCTACTACTCTTACCTGAATTCTACAAAATATTGGGTTTTTTCCTCATTTCATCTGCACTGCACACAAAAGTCCCAAGTTCCTTCCACTCCCATTCTTTTAATTTCCCCCATCACTTGTGTGGTTGCTCTTGTGTTGCAAAAACCTTGACAGCTCTTAATGGCAGAGTTAATGGCAATTAATGGCCAAGGTGCTACATGCTGCTCTAAACTATTCGTGATATGACTCCAAGAATGAAGTGAGGATTTGCCAGCTCAGGCCTTTATGAGATCAATCTCTTTCTCTGTACAGTAATAGAACATTTTTTAACATGTAATAAAACTATTTACTACTTTGGTTTCACACTCTCACAGTTTCTTCATCTTTACTTTCTGCTGCAAATACAAGACTGTATATTGTTTCTAATGCCAAGGTAATGAGGTAGCCCTTTGATTTTGTTTCACTGAACAAAAAAACCCCAGCAAAATGAAATGAGAAAAAAATTACATTTTCACTTAAGGTTTTACTTTGTCATTATAATATGAGGTGAAGGAACACCGAGATGAAAGAAGGAGGAGGGACAAGAGGTGCTCCAGGTGCCAGAAGAGAATAGCCTGCATCCTGTGGAGAGGACCATGCTAGAGCAGGTGCCCACGCTGCAGCCCGTGGAGGACCCCAGGCTGCAGCAGGTGGATGGTCCCTGGAGAACTCTGCAGGAGCAGATTTACCCTGAAGGATTGCAACCCATGGGAAGTAATCACACTGGAACAGGGAAAAAGTGTGAGGAAGAAGGAGGAGAGGCATAGAAGAGCTGTTATGGACCAACCACAACCTCCCACTCCCCATCCCCCTGTCCCACTGCAGCATTCCAGTGAAAGGTAGGGTAGCACAGGTAGAAGAGTTGAGGATGAAGGGATGGAGTGGGGCCTCGAAAAAAACAGGGTGTGTGGGTGTAGTTTTAATTTTTGTCCTTTTTTTGCAGCATCCAACTCTGTTTTAATCAGAAATAAATTTGGCTCTTTAGCCAACCCCAACCATAAAGTTGCAAGGGAGAGATGAGTCCCAGCAACATTCTTTATGGCCCTCACCCTCTCTGTGAAGGCATCCCAGGCATGAATCCAACATTTTGTCTTTCCATGCCTCTCTCTTCCATTTACTTAATCAGTAGACTATGACTACTTTTTAATCTCTTTGTATGTGATAAAGCTCCCTGTGGAGCCCTGATCGTGCCTGCTTGGCTGTTTTGTTAAAACCTTTTCTGCCCTCTTAATTCTGCTTGTGGCTTACGTTTGAAATATAATAATTCTAAAACCTGAAATTATTCCGGTGTTATTAAAAATACTATTCTTACAGAAAATTTCAGTGAAGATGGCTTTAATTAAGCCAAATAATTTTAATATGAAAACGAAACTTTTCAGTTTACAATTTTAAAACAATTCCTGTAGATATTCCTTGCAAAGACTCCTGAATAGGGGGCTAATTCTCTATATTTGGGGTATAGTGCTTCTGAAAGAGTAGCGCTGATCACAGGAAAGATAAAGCAGACAGAGTTGTCATCAGAATGGAAAATGGTTTTCAGACAGCAGTGGAGCTCAACAAAAGAAAAACAAAGTCTTCTTCATCATCATCTACTGTCACTGCACCACAAATTCTGGTACTACACTGCATTGGGGGAAACCCACAGAATTGTAATCACAACCAAAGGGATTCAGCTGGCAATTTAAAACATTGTTTCCCTTAGTACTCGCTAAAAGCCCGTGAAATACCTGCCACGCGCATTTAGAACTTCTATTGGTATACAGCTTTCCCAGTGTCATAACCTTTATCTTTTTGACTACAATAGCTGAACCCAGGGTTTGTGTTTGGCCCATCTCTGCAACTCCTCTTTTGGTGTCTGACCTCCAAGACTAATATTGCAGAATAAGGACTGCCACTAATTAGATGTTGCCAGCGATAGAAGAAGGATGCACTCACCACACACTCTGCAGATGGCCTGAGACCTCACTGAACTCCACCTCAAATGACCACAGACCCACATTAAACGTGCAAGGAAAGTTTCAGGTCTAACATGTTATCCAGAGTGCACAATGAAGACAAACACTACCTTCTCTATGACATTATAATCATTAAAGAATCAATGGTAAATTAAACTGCACAAACCCAGAGGGGAAAAAAGCACCATGGTAAATGAAGGGAAAGGCTCTAATCAATTATTTTCTTCCACTTTTAAAGTACAGTGCTATTTATCAGTATAGCCAGTGCAAAAGCAAAGACATCGAGACAAGACCAAAACCAATGCTGGTTTTATTTTCATCGCTTTTTCATTTTGAATTTGATAATTATTGATGTTTCTCTTGGAAACAGTAACCAGCTTCCTAAAACTAGATTTTGACAGTGTGTTGAGTGGGAAAAAAAAAAAAAAAGAACACAAAAGTCAGGTAATTAAGACTGTAACTTGGAAAAATAACTTCCTTTTATAATATCTATACACTTTGGTAAACATTATGCTAAAAAAAGATTGTTTACCTACAAGAGGAGATAGAATTTTGATTTGCCACGTACCCAAAGGCCATTTTGGAGTGAAGTGGCAAAATTTCACTGAAAGAAGGAAAAAAAAAAAGTTCCTTTTGAAGCAATGTTAACTACTTTGGAAAGCAGAGTTTTGAAAAGCTTTGTTAGACCTGTTGATAGTGGATGGTCCTTCCTCTGCTTTCAGTCCTTCTGTCTACTAGTAGGACACCCAGTTACCTGGTCATCTCTGTTTAGACTGACACTACTTCTGAACTTACTCCTGCTGTGCATTATCATCAGTATAGTTGTGTAACACTGAAATTAAGAACTTCCCTCTACTATTTTAAACATCCTGTCTTTGTTAAACTAAATTTATTTGGAGTTCCAGGAGGATGGGAAGGAAGCAGTGCCATACATTGTCTCAACTGTTTCCATTTAGAAGCAAAAATGACAAGGGTTTGATGAACTAGGGGGAAAAAAAAGTCTGGCCAGCTCCTCTTCTGTTATAAAGTAAATCAACTCTACTAAGATCAAAGCAGCTCAAAAATTATAAATCTATTTAAACAGAGTAGTTATCAGTATAGCACATCTATGGGTCTGGACTGTAATCCTTTCAGTGTAAGAATGTTTTAGCAGACATTCATGAAGCTCACCTTATTTAATCTTTTAGTATTCCCAGACATTTGCTTTTTTAGAACCAATCGTTAGGTCAGTTTTAACAATTATGATGCAAGATTCACACTTTACTTACTTTAAGTTCTGGTTTGCTTCATTTTTTTTTACTGTGGTGAGAAATCCAAGAGTAAAATAATTATTATTGATAAGAATAATAATGCATCGAATGTGCTCAATTTACATGTCCAAGCTGGTAGACTACAAACTTACATGTAAAACAGTCTTATGCAGACTTTACCTGATTTGATTTCTGTAAGACATATTTACAACCTAAGCAGTACCACAGG